TCTCCCCCCCAAGCACACACACACACACACACACACAGGTACATGAGCGTCTACTCATGTACCTGTAACACGGCTCGTTCCACAGGCGGCCGTACCCCCATGATGCGGCAGTGCAGAGCGTCGCAAACTTGGTTGGTTTACATCGCAGTGAACCGGATGCGGAGACAGTAGAGCTCTTTGGCCGGTAGAGCTCTTTGGTCAACCGTAATCTATGGAAGTTGCCATCATAGCGTAACTGCGCGACAAAGCATACGTTTTTCAATTATGCTTTGCACCATCAACATTGCTGACACGAAGAGGGAAGGTCATTGGCCCAAACAACAAATCTTTCCTGAGAATGAATTCACACAGCGAAAGTGCTCGAATGATTGAGGAGGGATCGTGGCCAGCTCTGCAATGTGAAATTTGAAGCCGAGAGCGTCTCGGTGCGTGCGAGCACCGTTGTTTCACGTGAAGTAAAGTTGTGTTTCAGCTATTTTCGGTATTATCTGTTGCTTCTGTTAACTGAAATTTTGTTACCCGTTTGAGAATTATTTTGGTAACTGGGTTGTAGCCGTATGTCCATGTCACGGAACCAAGGGTCATTTGCATTTCACTCCACAGACTCCAGACAGCGTTTACAAACCTACCTAACCAACACTTGGAGCTCTAAATATCTCATCGCATCTCTTCCTTTCGCTTTCATGCTTTATGCGTGCGTCCAGTTACACGCGGCCGGCGGCGTTTGTGAAGTAGTAGGCTGCTGCATGCTGAACCACCGAACAGCCAGCAGCGCTTCCAACACGTTGCCTGGCCCTCCGCTTTCCGGACACCATCACACAGAATACCATATTACCATCAACTTTGAATTGGATGGGAGCGGCGCTATGTCGTTGCGTCTCGTGCGGCGCCCCAAGCAATGCCGCTCGCCCCGACATTGCCGCCAGCACCGCAACTTTTGCCAGCAGCAAGCCAAATCAAATCTGCGATCCTCCTTAGCAACAGCAGCAGCTCGAGCTCGCACCGACTGCGGACGAGTCCGAGGCACAGCGCATTGCTGCCCCATGGGTCCTTCCAGCGCACCTCAACGTCACTTCGGACCTTTCGGCCACCAACGCGCAGCACCTTTGCCAGCTTCCCGCCATTCGCGAAGATTCGTCATCGTCCTCAGCTGTCGCTGCCGCGACCGACTTCCTTAGCCTTAGAGCTGCAACGGCAGGCCTTAGCGCAGCAGCAGCAGCAGCAGCAGGAGTCATTAGTCATTAGGAACAGGCCCCAGTTCAAGCATTCCAACGCGAAGCCGTCGAGCAGAGGCAAGTACGGCGGGACCTGCCGCCGACGGCACCGCTGCCGCCGCCGCCGCGTTGCACCTGGCAGGACGCGGTCGCCACAAGCAGTATTGTCGCCACCGACAGCCCCTTCGCCGCCACTGCCGGCGCCGCCACTGCCGTACCAGCCTCCGTACCATCTGCCACCGGGGGAGTTCCCGAAGTGTTGGGGCGCCTGCGACCCCGCACCCCGCGCGCGTTCCTGCCCGCCGACTTGCTGCGCGCGGCTCCTGCGGCAAACAACAACAACAACAACGATAACAGCAACAACAACAACAACGATAACAGCAACAACAGCATCCGCAACCACGCTGCAGCAGCGGCACTAAACGCCGGCGGCGGCGGCGTGGAGCCCAGTTACACACCGGGTTCGTCCACGCCAAGATCCGGTTCCGTCGGCAATGCACAGGTCAGCTACAGCTCCGCCGGCGGCGCCGCTACTGGCGGCACCGCCGCCGTCGCCGCCGCTGCCGGCGGTGGTGGCGATGACTTGTACTCCTTTGAAGCCACAGGTTCGGGACGGTCGGCGATGGAGTACCAAGCCATGACGTCAGCGCTGCCGCCGCCGTCGCCACGCCGCCGCCGCCACGACGGCGACGGCGGTGCCCGCGGGCTCAGAGGGCATCGCGGGGTTTACAGCACACGCGGACGATAACACGATACGGCAGGTGGGGGCTGGGAGGGAGGTGGTCGATTGCTGCGGGTTGTGCGGGGGGCCAGTAGGTGGGGGTGGGGGGTGGGGGTAGTCGGGGGGAGGGGGAAGGGGAGGGGATGATGGTGTCACCGGCGCTGAGAGCGGTGCTGCGACAGGCCAAGCTTCGATCACGCTGCTCGCAGTCCGTTTCGCAATTCGATTTTCAGTCGCAGCTACAGCTCCCGCAGCAGCAGGAACGGACCCGTGGGTCGTTTCTGCTACAGCCCAACACGCTCGTGTCTTCCTCTGTAGCGTCGTCCGCCGCAACCTCGGCTGTAGTCGTCACCATTGGCACCAATGTGCCGTCAGCTGGAGTGAATTCCGGGCTACAGTCGCAACAGCCGCCGCCGCCGCCGCCGTCGCGGGCCAGCCTGGCGGCGGCGCTGGCGCACACAGGCGACGGCTCGCTCAGCGCCGCATCCTGGCTACAGCCACCACCGCCGGTGACGCCGCCGCCACCGTCGCGAAACAGCGTCCCGCAGCAGCAGCGGCCGGAGCAGCAGAAGATGTTGACTCAACAGCTATCCGAGTCGTACGGATCTGAATCTACCGTATCCACGTTGCAAAACATGTACGGCGGATCTACAGGGCTGAGGCCGCAGCTGCAAGCCGGGACGTGGGGTCAGGAAAGGTCGATGCCGACGCCGACGCAGCAGCAGAGGCAGGCGGAGGTGTTGGCGGCGACGGCCAAAGCGGCGGCTGAGAGGCACCAAGGTCCGACGTCAGCGGAGGTGGCGGCGGCGTTCGCGGCGTACCTGTCGGGAGGTACTGGCGGCGGTGGCGGAGGCGGTGGCGGCGGCGGCGGCGGCGGAGAGCGGCTACCGGGTGCTGCAACAGCTGGCAGCCGCCTGGCCCCCGCGCGCCGGTGATTCCTGTGCAACCACAGCAGCGAAGTGGCTCGCCGCAGCCGCCGCCGTCGCCGTCGCCGCAGCTGCCGTCGCCGTCGCCGCCGCCGCCGCAGCAGCAGCAGCAGCGAGGGGGCTTTTGCCAGCGGCATGATCGTCCTTAGCGGCAGTGGCGACTCGGCGGAGATGTCCAAGCTGCCGCCAGTGTCGGAAATCCCTATGCCGTACTCGATGTTGGGAACGTACGGCTCCGGCGTTGGCAGTATGCGAGGCCGGCTGGTATGCCCTGTCGTGGAGGAAGACGGAGAGGGAGAGGGAGAGGAGGCAGGCGACGCGCCGCCACCACCGCCGCCGCCGCTGGCGTCTCAGCAGCAGCGGCATCAGACGACACCGCAACAGACGCGATCCGGCAGCGGCGGCGGCGGCAGCGGCAGCGGCGGCGGTGGCGGCGGCGGCGGCGGCAGCACCAGCGGCAGCGGTGGCGGCGGCGGCGGCGGCAGCGGCAGCGGCAGCGGAGCCGCTGCCAATAACACGGTTCCCCAATTTGGGTCGCACGTGTCGTCGGTTGTCTCGACCTTCTCCTGGAGTTCCACGCCAGGTGACCCAGGGGTCAGTGAGCCGGGAAATGCCGAAGCGGCTGTGGCGGCGGAAGCGGCGGCGGCAGTAGCGCACATGGCCATTGAGCTCCGATCGGATATGAAAGGGCTGCGGGGCTCACCAAGCCACTTACAGCACACGCGGACGATAACACGATGATATTGTCACCGGCGCTGAGAGCGGCGCTGCGACAGGCCAAGACTCGATCACGCTGCTCACAGTCCGTTTCGCAGTTCGATTCTCAGTCGCAGCTACAGCTCCTGCAGCAGCAGGAACGGACCCGTGGGTCGTTTCTGCTACAGCCCAACACGCTCGTGTCTTCCTCTGTAGCATCGTCCGCCGCAACCTCGGCTGTAGTCGTCACCATTGGCACCAATGTGCCATCAGCTGGAGTGAATTCCGGGCTACAGTCGCAACAGCCGCCGCCGCCGCCGCCGTCGCGGGCCAGCCTGGCGGCAGCGCTGGCGCACACAGGCGACGGCTCGCTCAGCACCGCATCCTGGCTACAGCCACCACCGCCGGTGAAGCCGCCGCCACCGTCGCGAAACAGCGTCCCGCAGCAGCAGCGGCCGGAGCAGCAGCAGATGTTGACTCAACAGCTATCCGAGTCGTACGGATCTGAATCTACCG